AAGTACACAGTTTTCAAACTGAGCTCTGTTTTAGTCACAATGTATCGGGCTAGTTCATCCAGAACGCCACTGGATACTCCAGTTCGCCGGTCGATCTCTTACTCCAATTTTTCGTCACTAGTAAATACAACTTCGAAGTACTTGAAATTCTTAATTTGAGAATTTCCATTATGATAAAACAGCTCTATGCAGATGACGGAAATGACGTACGTAATCATATTTTATTTTTTTTAATTTGAGAAATTCGGTAGCATATAAGATGTGGTGCTCGAATCAATTTATGTTCAATATTCGCATGAATGAATGTGAATAGGTCACGAAATATTTAGAAACCTTACTTTCCACAGGGACACGACATATTTTGCACTAACTGAGTGGTCCACCGCGCAACTATTTAAGGTGAACAGCAGTAACACAGAGAATTAATCTGATGATTCTTTGCTTGAGTCTTTAAATAATTCACATTACTGAAACACGCTTTAAAATGAATTTAACAGTGTCTGGCAAAAATTATTATACTCCATTCTCGTCATTTTTGCAGATAAATAGAAATGACTACACACTTTATCACAGTTGGAGATGCTAATTTTCCGAATCAGCAAAATTATCTTGGCTGCATCATCATCAGCAGAGCTTTGCAGGTTATTAAAAAAGTCCAGAAGCTAAAAAAGTGTTTCTTATCAAGCATGAGTCAATCATTAGAAGTAAAGTTGTGGAAATGCTCATTTCTCCGTCAAAAAAAAAACAAAAGGAAAATCAGCGCGACATCAAATTACGATAAAGCTTGGAGTCTGTCCCTAATACATTGTTTGTCCGCAATTCTCAGTGACCCCGAAAACCAAATGCAGTTAGTAATATTTAGCCTCATCTCTCGGAAAAATGATTACTTCTTCCATTGGTTCGCTGTGTACTGATATGCAGTACAACAATGGCTACTGGCACACTATTACTAACAAATGTGTCCTCGGAGATCAGACTTAAGGGTCTTTTGCACTGCCCTTGATCCCAGTTGCTTAGGGGGCATCACCAAACGGCCACCCGACTCCATGCTATTAGAAAACCTGCAATACCATTTCTATCTCGCGTCATCTAAGCAATTACAAGCAAGAACTGCAGTATACGCCATGAGTTCTGATCTTCGAAGCGTCATTTGTTATTTGACTTACTCAAGCAAACGAAGAGCTAATGATATATTTGCATAAACTGCTTTACACAGAGGCCGAACAGAAATACATAGCCGCGTTCGTGGTGCACCAAGAAGTAGAAATAAACCAGAGTACAGAATAGTAAAATTTGTTCTGTTCTCGTGCGTAGTGCGTTGTTACCAGCGTAGCAGAGTATTAAAATTCCACAAAATATTATGGCGGCAAGAAAAGCATTCGTAAAAGCCAAAACGGTATTCGCCCTCAATGTGGCGAACATTGAGTTCAACAGATTAGTCCTATTTCATGTTCTGCCAGTTCTCTAAATGTCCTGATGATGAATGAAGGACCAAACATTTGATGAAAGTCTGAGCGATCTGACATAGAGTTGAACAGACCTTTCATTCGCGAATAAGCTGATACTTCTTTCGAAATTTTTTATGCAGTGGGTGTTGCATTTTTTCAGTAATGACTGATCAATTATGCATGGCTGTAGACGTAGTCACTGACGTCATTGCTGGCTTTGATTGGTTAATGCGAGAAATTATCACTGCGTGACATATTACAATCGTTTTTTCGATATAAAGAAAAATCACCAGATCGATTTCTCTGTAAAATCGAAAGAGACAACCAAACGTAGATAAAAAGCATTTTCCTCGAGAGTGATGTTGGGTACAGTGATGCAGATTATTTATAAGAATTAATGACGCTATAGGTTATTGCAAGGTATGTCAATTCGCATGTTGCTGCAAAATCGATATCCCGGTTACAGCAGCCTATGCTATGTTAAGAAACGCACGTTTTTCTTTGTCTTCTTCTAGTTTTTTATCATTCTAAATTTTGTTTTCAGGTTCCCGTTTATAAATTTATGTAATCTAAGCTTTTTGAAGTAAAATTGCAGATGATATTATCATTAAAACGAGGTCAGTCAAGCAATGTTTTCAAAATGTAACTTGAAATTCCCTGTAATGTACGTGCAAGAACATTTAGTGACTACCTTCTATGGTACGCGATATCGGATCAGCTGTATGGCTTTTTTGTCGCAGTCGAGTGATAAATAATGATCGTGTTTTTTAAACCATAGGAGGCTGATAATTTGCATGTGTAATCGCCAGTCAAGATCCACAACACAGTTTTCCTTGATTAGGCCTCTGCAGCTTGGTTCTGTTAGGAACAAGTTGTTGCGTCATTTGCCACTGAACCTGAGTTTGTGCATCTGCACCAACCATCGTGGCAGCACTCCGTTATTTGTAAGACGGTGTAAACATCTGCTTTTCAAAACGTAAATTTGGGTACATGTTACAAAGTTCATTAGGCACGCTCTTTCCGCTTTCGACAGTGACATATCCTTTCCGTTTTATCCGACTTGTGATCAACGTATTTCGCAATTGTTGAAACATTGCGTTTTTGCTTCATTCTTCAATGATCGATTATCTAATTTTCGCGTTTTTTTAAGAAGTCATTTTCTGGTGGTTGAGTCAGCACACTTGAACGTAGCATATTGTCTTGTGGCAAAAATTTGCTATGAGTTAAATTAATCCTCTTGCTGTTAATGAACATGCAATTTGCAGTTTTGTAAAATTCAGTTCTTGCTTTGCTGATGTATTGTTTCTGCGATCGAGGATGGGTATAAAAGGAATAAATTAGATTTTGAGGTGATTTATAAAGAATGCTTGAACGAATGATTTATTTTTTAAATAGTCCTGAAAACAAAATGGGTTTTCAATCTAAGATGTTAGAGAAAAAGATATAAGATCATTTACGGGCAATGGCTAGTCAATAGTTTAATAAAAACAGAGAATTAGTATAACATATTGAGGCAATGCAGTGTCGTCGCAACCTTTAGGTATTTCGAGAAAACGCCTAAATTTGAACCAGTATTCACCAAAGCGCATCTTTAGCTTTCATAGGTGGTAATTCGGTATTTGTGGAGTGTTACCGAAGTGGCAAAGAGATTGGCTTTAAATGTCAGGTGTCGCAAAAGGGACAAGTTTTGTCTTATCTGCGAATTTGCTTGAGGAAGGATCTAAGTTCACACTGCTTCGGCGCAACCAGCCGAGGAACGCGTAGTAAGCGGGTGACTTGCAAAAAGTAGGAACGTCATGGTATGCTGATGTGGTTTGAGCAAAATGGACTAGATGAACGGCCATGCTGTCCGATGCGAACATCCCCCATGGCTGCATGTCGCCCTACTCACTGCTGGATGATTATCCAGTCGGATAATCGATTTTGATAAGTAACCTACGGAGATTTGGTTAATGCATACAAATTCTTTATGGCCATGACGGTTTTTTAAGATGTGGTAAAC